CGAGCAAGCCATTGGCAGACGGAACGTCTCTCTGACATTTTCCGAACCTCCCTGCCTGCATCAAAAGTTGTTTGGATTTTTTTCCGTATCGCTCAGAGTTTGCGGTGTAAAAACAAAGTGTAACATAGTCGGTAATTTAATAAAGATGGGCTTTTGCTTTTTTAAACCAACACCCCATTTTGCACAGCAGTGACTAAGCAAAAACCCTAAACAAAACCAAGATCCTTTTGAAAAGGACGAATTTTGCTTGCCTTTTTTCCTTAGGAAATTGAAAGCGCCCATCAAATGCTGTCTATCAATAAACATATTACCCCCTCTTTTATTCCAGGTTACAGCGACCGTCGAAAATAGCCGCACCCAAGTCTATATGTAAAAGGTAATGCTAATGTATGCAAGAAGTCAGTAAATGACAGAACACACATTAAAAGAAGGGCGTGTCACCAAAATTGAAGAACTTGCTAAACTGGATTTGTTGAAGTTCCTTGCCAAAATCAAATTGCTCCTCAGGGCTCTTTTCCGGTTCTGGAGGAGGTGTGGGCTTCGGGAAGGCTCTGTCGTAGCTCTCCGCGTCAAAGCACATGTCGTCATTACAGGCGAAAGCGCAGTGACCACGGTTGCAATGGAAGCCATCAAAGTCGCCCTTGAAGCAGAACGGAGAGAGACAACCATCAAAGTAGAGTGACTCGATTTTCACGGGCTCCTTACCTTTCGGTGTTAGCATGGGTTTACCCTTATGCGAGCAGGCGTCAGAGGTGCAAACATAGTCGCAGATTCCAGCCTTGCAATTATAACCGAAAGTGGAGCCGGTCTGACATCTCCTCTCAGCCCCACAGCCATGGAACACTGTACTGGCCTCCTTCATATGTCTTGGTGACCTACCCCTGTGGCTCATGGGTTCGGCCAAGGACGCTGCGATGCGGAAGCATTGGTGATCATCGCATGCGACGGCACAGTGTCCAGTCTCACAGTCAAAGCCGAATCCACGCTGGTTTTTGCAGTTAAGATCTTGGCAATCATCGAATTCAATGGATTTTTTCACTTTGCCCTTCAGGTCGAAGTGATAAACCCTGTTGCCATGGTAACATTCGTCTTGCTCGCAGACCAGATCGCAGACACCACTTGAACACCCATAACCATGGTGGT